GATGATGATGATGATGATGATGATGATGATGATGATTGTCAATGTGTATGTACAATGATGATGATGATGATGATGATTGTCAATGTGTTTGTACGATGATGATGATGATGATGATGATGATGATGACAACGATGATGATGATGATGATGAGGATGATGACGAGGATAAATGACTATGATTGAGAAACGCATGCTTCTGTCTACAAGTGAGAGTTTGTGTGTAATGTCTGTTTGATGTAGATGTAACAAAAAACTTGAAAAAATAAAACAATATAAAACAAAAAACAAAAAAAACAAAAAACATTTCAAAATATGTTTGTAAGGAAATTTGAGTTTTTTGTTTCAATATTTCAGAATGTGCTAACCCGCCAAATCGTCGAAACACGATTACTTCATTCGATTCTTCTGAAAGGACTGTGGGCTCAATCGTCAATTACGGTATGTGCGCAGATGACAAATATACTCATGGTCAACGGAGTATCACGTGTTTAGCCAGTGGAGAGTGGTCATCGTATGACTATGCATGCTGCGGTAAGGTTCACGGGGTTGTTTTATCATCTTCTATAGAAGGGAGACTACTCCAGGTAAAAAAACACTCTTGTTTGGAACGCTTCTTCCCCTTTATAACTGATGGAGCGATACGCTTTTCTTTAGGTATAAATGTATGATATTTTTTGTCCCTGAAAAAAAACTGTACTGCCAGTTTGTCCTCAGATTCATGGTATACCAAAAGGTTGTCCTCGAAAAAATGTATACTGCCAGATTGTCCCCGATAAAAACGCATATCGCTAGTTTGTCCCCGAATAAAATGTATGCCGCCAGATTGTTCCCGAATAAAATGTATACTACCAGTTTGTCCCCGAATAAAATGTATACTGCAAGAGTGTCCCCGAATAAAATGTATGCTGCCAGTTTGTCCCCGAATAAACGCATTCCGCTAGTTTGTTCCCGAATAAAATATATCCTGTCAGATTGTCCCGAATAAAATGTATATTGCCAGTTTAATGCCGAATGAAATGTTTTCTATCAGTTTGTCCCCGAATTAAATGTATACTGTCAGTCTGTCCCCGGATGAAATGTATACTGCCAGTTTGTCCCGAATAAAATGTATACTGCAAGATTGTTCCCGAATAAAATGTAAACTTCAAGTTTGTCCCCGAATGAAATGTATACTGCCAAATTGTCACCAATAAAATGTTTCTGCCAGATTGTCCCCGAATGAAATGTATACTACCAGTTTGTCCCCGGATGAAATGTTTACTGCCAGTTTGTCCCGAATAAAATGTATACTGCAGGTTTGTCCCAAATAAAATGTATACTGCCAGATTGTCCTCGAATAAAATGAGTACTTCCATATTTTCCTCGAATAAAATGTATACTGCAATATTGTCCCCGAATAAAATGTATACTGCAAGAGTGTCCCCGAATAAAATGTGTACTGCCAGTTTGTCCCCGAATAAACGCATTCCGCTAGTTTGTTCCCGAATAAAATATATCCTGTCAGATTGTCCCGAATAAAATGTATATTGCCAGTTTAATGCCGAATGAAATGTTTTCTATCAGTTTGTCCCCGAATTAAATGTATACTGTCAGTTTGTCCCCGAATTAAATGTATACTGCCAGATTGTCCCCGAGTTAATTGTTTACTGCCAAATTGTCCCCTATAAAATGTTTCTGCCAGATTGTCCCCGAATGAAATGTATACTACCAGTCTGTCCCCGGATGAAATGTATACTGCAATATTGTCCCCGACTAAAATGTATACCACAAGGTTGTCCCCGAATGAAATGTATGCTGCCAGTTTGTCCCCGAATAAAACGCATACGGCCAGTTATCCCCGAATAGAATGTATACCGCAAGATTGTTCCAGAATATAACGCATACCGCCAGTTTGTCTCCGTATTAAATGCATACCGCCAGATTGTCTTCTAAGGAAGCGTAAACCGCAAGATTGTTCCCCAATTAGATTGTCTATACCGTCATTGATATTTTGTAGAAACGTCTGTATTGTTGATTAAATAGTCTGGGAATATCTTTACCGTTATATACATTATGGGTTGCATATGTTGTTATCTATATGTAAACGGAATGTTTATACTGTTATATGTATATTGTGGTAATGTTTATACCGTTATTAATATATTGTGATGAATGTCTCTACCGTTATATTGTGGTGATGTTTATACCGTTATTTTTATATTGTGGTAATGTATATACCGTTATTTATATATTGTGGTAATGTATATATCGTTATTTATATATTGTGGTAATGTATATACCGTTATTTATATATTGTGGTAATGTATGTACCGTTATTTATATATTGTGGCAATGTATGTACCGTTATTTATATATTGTGGTGATGTATATACCGTTCTTTATATATTGATGTGATGTATATACCGTTATTTACATATTGTGGTGATGTATATACCGTTATTTATATATTGATGTGATGTATATACCGTTATTTACATATTGTGGTGATGTATATACCGTTATTTATATATATTGTGGTGAGGTATATACCGTTATTTATATATTGTGGTAATGTATGTACCGTTATTTATATATTTTGGCAATGTATGTACCGTTATTTATATATTGTGGTGATGTATATACCATTATTTATATATTGTGGTGATGTATATACCGTTATTTATATATTCTGGTGATGTATATACCGTTATTTATATATTGTGGCAATGTATGTACCGTTATTTATTGTGGCAATGTATGTACCGTTATTTATATATTGTGGTGATGTATATATCGTTATTTATATATTGTGGTGATGTATATACCGTTCTTTATATATTGATGTGATGTATATACCGTTATTTACATATTGTGGTGATGTATATACCGTTATTTATATATATTGTGGAGATGTATGTACCGTAATTTATATATTGTGGTGATGATTATACCGTTATTTATATATTGTGGTGATGTATATATCGTTATTTATATATTGTGGTGATGTATATACCGTTATTTGATATATTGTGGTAATGTTTATACCGTTATTTATATACTGTGGTGATGTATATACCGTTATTTATATATATTGTGGTGATGTATGTACCGTTATTTATATATTGTGGTAATGTTTATACCGTTATTTATATATTATGGTGATGTATATACCGTTATTTATATATTGATGTGATGTATATACCGTTATTTACATATTGTGGTGATGTATATACCGTTATTTATATATTGTGATGAATGTCTCTACCGTTATATTCTTGTGATGTTTATACCGTTTTTGATATATTGTGGTAATGAATATACCGTTATTTATATATTGTGGTAATGTATATATCGTTATTTATATATTGTGGTAATGTATATACCGTTATTTTTTTATTGTGGTAATGTATATACCGTTATTTATATATTGTGGTGATGTATATTCCGTTATTTATATATTGTGGTGTTGTATGTACCGTTATTTATATATTGTGGTGATGTATATACCATTATTTATATATTGTGGTGATGTATATACCGTTCTTTATATATTGATGTGATGTATATACCGTTATTTACATATTGTGGTGATGTATATACCGTTATTTATATATTGGGGTGTTGTATGTACCGTTATTTATATATTGTGGTGATGTATATACCGTTCTTTATATATTGATGTGATGTATATACCGTTATTTATATATTGTGGTGTTGTAGGTACCGTTATTTATATATTGTGGTGATGTATATACCATTATTTATATATTGTGGTGATGTATATACCGTTCTTTATATATTGATGTGATGTATATACCGTTATTTATATATTGTGGTAATGTTTATTCCGTTATTTATATATTGTGGTGATGTATATACCGTTATTTGATATATTGTGGTAATGTTTATACCGTTATTTATATACTGTGGTGATGTATATACCGTTATTTATATATATTGTGGTTATGTATGTACCGTAATTTATATATTGTGGTGATGATTATACCGTTATTTATATATTGTGGTGATGTATATGCCGTTATTTATATATTGTGGTGATGTATATACCGTTATTTGATATATTGTGGTAATGTTTATACCGTTATTTATATATTGTGGTCATGTATATACCGTTATTTATATATTGTGGTGATATATATACCGTTATTTATATATATTGTGGTGATGTATCTACCGTAATTTATATATTGTGGTGATGTTTATACCGTTATTTATATATTGTGGTGATGTATATGCCGTTATTTATATATTGTGGTGATGTATATACCATTATTTATATATTGTGGTGATGTATATACCGTTCTTTATATATTGATGTGATGTATATACCGTTATTTACATATTGTGGTGATGTATATACCGTTATTTATATATTGATGTGATGTATATACCGTTATTTACATATTGTGGTGATGTATATACCGTTATTTATATATGTTGTGGTGATGTATATACCGTTATTTATATATTCTGGTGATGTATATACCGTTATTTATATATTGTGGCAATGTATGTACCGTTATTTATATATTGTGGTGATGTATATACCGTTATTTATATATTGATGTGATGTATATACCGTTATTTATATATTGTGGTGATGTATATACCGTTATTTATATATATTGTGGTGATGTATGTACCGTAATTTATATATTGTGGTGATGTTTATACCGTTATTTATATATTGTGGTGATGTATATACCGTTATTTATATATTGTGGTGATGTATATACCGTTATTTGATATATTGTGGTAATGTTTATACCGTTATTTATATATTGTGGTAATGTTTATACCGTTATTTATTTATTGTGGTGATGTATATACCGTTATTTATATATTGTGGCAATGTATGTACCGTTATTTATATATTGTGGTGATGTATATACCGTTATTTATATATTCTGGTGATGTATATACCGTTATTTATATATTGTGGTAATGTCTATACCGTTATTTATATATTGTGGTAATTTATATACCGTTATTTATATATTGTGGTAATGTATATACCGTTATTTATATATGGTGGTAATGTATATACCGTTATTTATATATTGTAGTAATGTCTATATTGTTATCTACACTTTTTGGGGTTGTCTACATTGTTTTAATAGGTTTTAGTTATGTCTATAATGTTTTTATAGGTTTTAGTAATGTCTACATTGTTTTTTATAGGTTTTAGTAATGTCTATATTGTTTTGATAGGTTTTAGTAATGTCTACATTGTTTTTATAGGTTTTAGTAATGTCTACATTCTTTTTATAGGTTTTAGTAATGTCTATATTGTTTTTATAGGTTTTAGTAATGTCTATATTGTTTTTATAGGTTTTAGTAATGTCTTTATTGTTTTTATAGGTTTTAGTAATGTCTACCTTTTTTTATAGGTTTTAGTAATGTCTATATTGTTTTTATAGGTTTTAGGAATGTCTACATTGTTTTTATAGGTTTTAGTAATGTCTTTATTGTTTTTATAGGTTTTCGTAATGTCTATATTGTTTTTATAGGTTTTAGTAATGTTTATATTGTTTTTATAGATTGTGATACAAGCTTTACCGTTACTGGTGATTGTGAGTGCTTCAAAATCAGAGGTCCTAAGAAAACATACCCAGATGCAATAGACCTGTGTTTTGATAATAAAGAACAAGTTGCCGTGATTGGTTCGGCCGAGCAGCTACAAAGTTTGTCAGGAATTGCAAGTAAGTATACGATAACACATCTCCCGTGCTAGATGCCAAATGTCAAGGTACGACACTATTTACAGTGAGGGCAAGATGCAATTTACGGTAAGGGCGCGACACTATTTACTATGAGGGCGCGACACTATTCACTTTGAGGGCGCGACACTATTTACTGTGAGCGCGCGACACTATTTACTGTGATGGCGCGACACTATTTATGTGAGGGCGCGACACTATTTACTGTGAGGGCGCGACACTATTTACTATGAGGGCGCGACACTATCTACTGTGAGGGCGCGACACTATCTACTGTGAGGGCGCGACACTATTCACTTTGAGGGCGCGACACTATTCACTATGAGGGCACGACACTATCTACTGTGAGGGCGCGACACTATTTACTATGAGGGCGCGACACTAGTTACTTTGAGGGCGCGACACTATTTACTGTGAGGGCACGCAACTTTTCACTTTGAGGGCGCGACACTATTCACTATAAGGGCACGACACTATCTACTGTGAGGGCGCGACACTAGTTACTATGAGGGCGCGACACTATTCACTTTAAGGGCGCGACACTATTTACTGTGAGGGCGTGACACTATTTACTGTGAGGGCTCGACACTATTTACTATGAGGGCGCGACACTAGTTACTTTGAGGGCGCGACACTATTTACTGTGAGGGCGCGACACTATTCACTTTGAGGGCGCGACACTATTTACTGTGAGGGCACGCAACTTTCCACTTTGAGGGCGCGACACTATTTACTGTGAGGGCGCGCCACTATTTACTGTGATGGCGCGACACTATTTACTGTGAGGGCGCGACACTATTTACTGTGAGGGCGCGACACTATCTACTGTGAGGGCGCGACACTATTTACTGTGAGGGCGCGACACTATTTACTATGAGGGCGCGACACTATCTACTGTGAGGGCGCGACACTATTTACTGTGAAGGCGCGACACATATAACGGGGGGGGGGCGAAACTCTTTACTTGAACCCCTACCTAACTGACATTTACTTGCTATATAAAGATATGTTGGTCATTCCCTAACATCATTTTCTCAAAGCCAAACCACAGTCAAAAAGATATATTTGGTTGTATGTAATTTTGTTCTTTGTCACATCACAATAAGAAGGAACGTTTGTATTTTAACTCGGATGACCGTTAAGGCCCATTGGCCTCTTGTTTTAATACACACCATAATTTTGTAGCTTCCGAAATCATCAGGATTGCCGGGAAATATTCAAATAGCAAGTGGATATTTGACGACACTGTTTTAGACTGGATCGATAATCTACCTAATCATCTCAAAGCTTTTTCATCAGATCCTGCATCACTGGCATTCCAAATGATAGGTAATAAAGTAGCTTTGGTGGACATAAGCTATGGTGAAAAGAAAGATGTTCTTTGCCAGAAACCATGAATAACATTAAGGTTCGTGAATTGCTATGACACGATCCTTTACATGTGGTGTTTACAATCCTTGGCTCTCGGAGTGGCATCGTCAGTAATAAAGGGAGATAAGCTAACAATAACTTACCATATTCCAAGACGATTTTGTTACAATATTGACCTTGACATTGTACCAAAGTTAAGGATTAACTATTGTGTTGTACCAATTTCTTGGCTATTTTGACACTTACCTGTTCTGTTGTTGTTGTTTTAAATGAAATGTGTTCTACAAGTAAGTTCCATTCCATACACGTTACTGTAGCAAGTCACAACAAGCTTTACTTGTAATCGGGACTGATGTCCCCTGGACTACCCTTGTAGTCAAAATGACGTAATACCCAAGTACGTACTCATTTGGAGCAAAATCAGAAAAAAGAGGGGGCCCGTTGGCGTCGCCTTGGTTACCCCCATAGATATGTACTAATCAATGGCGAGTGGTTAAAGCGTCTGATATTCTGCAACCGCTAGCCCTCCACCACTGGGTCGCGGGTTTCTCGGCCTACGTGGGGCAGACGCCAGATACCTACCGTAGGTCGGTGGTTTCTCTTCGGGTACTCCGGCTTTCCTTCACCACCAAAACCTGGCACGTCCTTGAATGACCATAGCTGTTAATGGGACGTAAAACAAAAGCAACCTAAACAAACCATTTAATCAATTTAAAGCAATGGCGGCCATGTTTGAATCCTGATCCGAAAAAGAAACGCATTACGAACATCTACACATGCCCACCGTAAAGTAGAAGAAGAGCAGAGTGACAGTGTTCCTGTAATTAGGCCATGACACTGTCATATTATGCACTTTGAGTCTCGGAATAAGAAACAAGTTTCAAAAAATGTATTCATGTGACACTCTAAATTATTACATTGGTACATTTGAGACAGTGGAATAGATAACTCATTTGTGTTTCGTGTTTTTATATTTTCACCCTGAAGATTCTATGTGACCGGTTGATGATTTTCAGATCAAATGTTTAACGAACCCCTTGTCAGGATTTTAAACATAACAGTTCTCGAAAAAGAAGCAACTTTGGTGGATCTTTCCAAACCTTGAGGGTTGGACAGAAAAATCTTAACCCTCGGGGTAAGATTCTTATTTATATATAACACCTAGTTATATACCATACCTATTTAAATATATTATCTAGTTATGTATCATAACTATCATAGATACATTTGCTCTGCATCCTTCCATTGCAATGCATTGAGAAGTTAATGCTGTTATGAGACTATAACAACATTTGCTATTTTATTGTCATAAAAACTCTGTTGTGACTTCATGAATTTCATAGTTGTCAAGACTTGATTTCTGTTCAAAGAACTGTTCGAAATAACATACCTGGTTATTTATAAGGTTATTTATCATACCTAATTATATAACATACCTGGTTATTTATCATACCTAATTATATAACATAACTGGTTATTTATCATACCTAATTATATAACATACCTGGTTATTTATCTGGTTATTTATCCACCTAATTATATAACATACCTGGTTATTTATCATACCTAATTATATAACATACCTGGTTATTTATCATACCTAATTATATAACATACCTGGTTATTTATCATACCTAATTATATAACATACCTGGTTATTTATCATACCTAATTATATAACATACCTGGTTATTTATCATACCTAATTATATAACATACCTGGTTATTTATCATACCTAATTATATAACATACCTGGTTATTTATCATACCTGTCAATCTTACTATTGCGTAACAGACATTTTTTAGACCATGAAATAGAATATTCGTCATACCACAGCTAAAACTCCTTTTCAGCCTGAACTCTTCGGTTATGATCCATTTCCATTGTTCAAATCGACAAATTGAAACAGGAAGTGGTTCCGAACATTTTAGTGTCATTTGACGATATGGTAAAGTTATGTCATTATTTCGTCCCTGACGTCGTTTTGACCGTCATTGTTATTCGGTACAATATACTGTAATAGTGATGCCTAAATGTTTTCACCTCACAATCATTGTGACCCTGTCGGCAGTTGTCCTATTTTGTCTATTTAACCTGGATATATTTGGGTGTTTTTTTTCATTTTCGGTACCCAAACTCGACAGAGGATAACTATTTATACCCCCGCAACGAAGTTAAAGGGGGGGGGGGGGGGTATACTGGAATCACCCTGTTTGTCTGCGGTCCACAGTAACTTGTCCGAAAATTCCTCCTTAACTAACAGGTGGATTTCATTGAAACTTTGCATGAATGATCGGTATCTTATGTAGTTGTGCACCGGTATTTTAATTTGGGATTTCGATCTTATTTGATTGAGTAATGCCCCTTTGTACGAAATACTTGTCCGCGAAATTCCTCCTTTACTAACAAGTGGATTTCATTGAAACTTTCCGTGAATGATCGGTATCTTATGTAGTTGTGCACCGGCATTCAAATATGGGATTACGACCCTTTCTGATGGAGTTATGCCCCTTTGTACGAACTACTTGTTTTATTTACGATAATTAAGCGCAAAGCCCCAAACCTCTTGGTTATACAGTGGAGAGCTTGTCAGGCTGGTCCCTAGAATCGGAGGAGTTATCTATTACATCTTTATATTGGAGGAGATATCTGTGTTACATCTTTCAGCAAAACTCTTTCATGTGGGCTAACAAGTTTTGGTTTGCAAGTATGTTTTGGCATCGAGAGGGAGTACAGGAAGTATGTGAGTGACCTATATATACTTAAATAAGTGTACAGCTCGGCCAATAAAGAAATCATTACTGGTGGGAGGCAATATTGCTTTGCCTTAGGAAGCCTTTAGCTTACAGTTCTGGTTTATATATAAGAGCGGGTGGTATTAGTTAGCCTTTAGCTTACAGTTCTGGTTTATATATAGGAGCGGTGGTATAAGTTAGCCTTTAGCTTACAATTCTGGTTTATATAGGAGCGGTGGTATTAGTGAGCCTTTAGCTTACAGTTCTGGTTTATATAGGAGCGGTGGTATTAGTGAGCCTTTAGCTTACAATTCTTGTTTATATAGGAGCGGTGGTATAAGTGAGCCTTTAGCTTACAATTCTGGTTTATATAGGAGCGGGGGGTATTAGTGAGCCTTTAGCTTACAGTTCTGGTTTATATAGGAGCGGGGGTATAAGTAAGCCTTTAGCTTACAGTTCTGGTTTATATAGGAGCGGGGGTATAAGTAAGCCTTTAGCTTACAGTTCTGGTTTATATAGGAGCGGGGGTATAAGTAAGCCTTTAGCTTACAGTTCTGGTTTATATAGGAGCGGGGGTATAAGTAAGCCTTTAGCTTACAGTTCTGGTTTATATAGGAGCGGGGGTATAAGTAAGCCTTTAGCTTACAGTTCTGGTTTATATAGGAGCGGGGGTATAAGTAAGCCTTTAGCTTACAGTTCTGGTTTATATAGGAGCGGGGGTATAAGTAAGCCTTTAGCTTACAGTTCTGGTTTATATAGGAGCGGGGGTATAAGTAAGCCTTTAGCTTACAGTTCTGGTTTATATATAGGAGCGGGGGTATAAGTAAGCCTTTAGCTTACAGTTCTGGTTTATATAGGAGCGGTGGTATTAGTGAGCCTTTAGCTTACAATTCTTGTTTATATAAGAGCGGTGGTATTAGTGAGCCTTTAGCTTACAATTCTGGTTTATATAGGAGCGGTGGTATAAGTAAGCCTTTAGCTTACAGTTCTGGTTTTTATATAAGAGCGGGGGGTATTAGTTAGCCTTTAGCTTACAATTCTGGTTTATATATAGGAGCGGTGCTGTTAGTTAGCGTTTAGCTTACAATTCTGGTTTATATATAAGAGCGGGGGGTATTAGTAAGCCTTTAACTTACAGTTATGGTTTATATATAAGAGCGGGGGGTATTAGTTAGCCTTTAGCTTATAATTCTGGTTTATATATAGGAGCGGTGCTGTTAGTTAGCGTTTAGCTTACAATTCTGGTTTATATATAAGAGCGGGTGGTATTAGTTAGCCTTTAGCTTACAGCTCTGGTTTATATAGGAGCGGTGGTATAAGTAAGCCTTTAGCTTACAGTTCTGGTTTTTATATAAGAGCGGGGGGTATTAGTTAGCCTTTAGCTTACAGTTCTGGTTTATATAGGAGCGGTGGTATAAGTAAGTCTTTAGCTTACAATTCTGGATTATATATGAGCGGTGGTATTAGTAAGCCTTTAGCTTACAATTCTGGTTTATATATAGGAGCGGTGGTATTAGTGAGCCTTAAGCTTACAATTCTGGTTTATATATAGGAGCAGTGCTGTTAGTGAGCCTTAAGCTTACAGTTCCGGTTTATATATAGGAGCGGTGATATTAGTTAGCCTTTGGCTCACAGTTCCGGTTTATATAGAGGAGCGGTGGTATTAGTGAGCTTACAATTCTGGGTTATATATAGGAGCAGTGGTGTTAGTGAGCCTTAAGCTTACAGTTCCGGTTTCTATATAGGAGCGGTGATATTAGTTAGCCTTTGGCTCACAGTTCCGGTTTATCTATAGGTGCGGTGGTACTAGTTAGCCTTTGGCTCGCAGTTCCGGTTTATATAGAGGAGCGGTGGTATTAGGTAGCCTTTAGCTTACAGTTCTGGTTCATATATAGGAGTGGTGGTATTAGTCAGCCTTTAGCTTACAATTAAGGTTTATATATAGGAGCAGTGGTGTTAGTGAGCCTTAAGCTTACAGTTCTGGTTCATATATAGGAGTGGTGGTATTAGTCAGCCTTTAGCTTACAATTATGGTTTATATATAGGAGCGTTTGTATTAGTTAGCCTTAACCTTACAATTCTGGTTTATATAGGAGCGGGGGGGGGGGGGGGGGGGGGGGGTTGTATTAGTTAGCCTTTGGCTTACAGTTCTGGTTTATATATAGGAGTGGTGGTATTAGTGAGCCTTTAGCTTACAGTTCCGGTTTATATATAGGAGCGGTGGTATTAGTTAGCCTTTGGCTCACAGTTCCGGTTTATATATAGGAGCGGTGGTATTAGTTAGCCTTTAGCTTACAATTATGGTTTATATATAGGAGCGGTGGTATTAGTTAGCCTTAACCTTACAATTCTGGTTTATATATAGGAGCGGTGGTATTAGATAGCCTTTAGCTTACAATTATGGTTTATATATAGGAGCGGGGGTATTAGTTAGCCTTTAGCTTACAATTCTGGTTTATATATAGGAGCGGTGGTATTAATTAGCCTTTAGCTTACAGTTCTGGTTTATATATAGGAGCGGGGGGTATTAGTTAGCTTTTAGCTTACAGTTCTGGTTTATATATAAGAGCGGTGGTATTAGTTAGCCTTTAGCTTACAATTCTGGTTTATATATAGGAGCGGTGGTATTAGTTAGCCTTTAGCTTACAGTTCTGGTTTATATATAAGAGCGGGGGTATCAGTTAGCCTTTAGCTTACAGTACTGGTTTATATATAAGAGCGGGGGGTATTAGTTAGCCTTTAGCTTACACTTCTGGTTTATATATAAGAGCGGGGGTATTAGTTAGCCTTTAGCTTACAGTTCTGGCTTATATATAGGAGCGGTGGTATTAGTTAGCCTTTGGCTCACAGTTCTGGTTTATATATAGGAGCGGGGGTATTAGTTCGCCTTTAGCTTACAGTTCTAGTTTATAGCTTACAATTCTGGTTTATATATAGGAGCGGTGGTATTAGTTAGCCTTTGGCTCACAGTTCTGTTTTATATATAGGAGCGGTGGTATTAGTTAGCATTTGGCTTACAGTTCTGGTTTATATATAAGAGCGGGGGTTATTAGTTAGCCTTTAGCTTACACTTCTGGTTTATATATAAGAGCGGGGGTATCCGTTAACCTTTAGCTTACAGTTCTGGTTTATATATAAGAGCAGGGGGTATTAGTTAGCCTTTAGCTTACACTTCTGGTTTATATATAAGAGCGGGGGTATCCGTTAACCTTTAGCTTACAGTTCTGGTTTATATATAGGAGCGGGGGTATTAGTTCGCCTTTAGCTTACAGTTCTAGTTTATATATAGGAGCGGTGGTATTAGTTAGCCTTTAGCTTACAGTACTGGTTTATATATAAGAGCGGGGGTATCAGTTAGCCTTTAGCTTAGAGTACTGGTTTATATATAAGAGCGGGGGGAATTAGTTAGCCTTTAGCTTACAGTTCTGGTTTATATATAGGAGCGGGGGTATTAGTTCGCCTTTAGCTTACAGTTCTAGTTTATATATAGGAGCGGGGGTATTATTTAGCCTTTAGCTTACAGTTCTAGTTAACATTGACGTCATGTTTTATACCAGATGCTTATTTCAATCAATCAAATCCACCAATCTAACGACGTCGCTGGTCAGCTCATGAAATCAGCATTTGATAGACTTGCTAACACTTTTTCAAGTCACAACCGCGGTAAGCTCAGCAAAACGTTCTGACCGTGAGCTTGGCAGGTTTGAAGTAAATTTAGAGATTAGATAGAAACGTTTTCGTTTGTCCGCTAGCAAATCCTCAAATACATACAAAACTAAAAGCGCGTACATGTACCCTCCTTCGACAAAGGAAACCAGCCCCGCAGCTCGCTTGTTTACATTTGCAGGGGAGGTTTTTGGAAGAGCGTTGGTTTGTTGTAAAACAATATATGGTTAATATCATCCTCGATATCGAGGAGTTACGCTCACTTTCGCTACAATCAAATAGCTAGCGCGTGCCTTCAATTTTCCAGGGGCACAGAGAGCGAACATGAGCGTAACCCCTGGATACCGAGGATGGGCTAATATCAACCAATGAAAAGTGTTCATTTGCCTCTCGTTGCTTGCAAGAGACAGAGTGCGTTATATTGCATCGGGTCAAATATTTATACTCTACCATAAGAAGGCAAGAAATAATGAAATGTTATCACTAATACATGTACATTGACCATACTTAGTTATATTTATCTGCTTGTTTACTATGTTAAATTTTTTAAATACAATGTACGTATGTTTGTCTAAGATATCCACCCGTGTTATCATTTATATGTTGTAAGTTTCCAATACATTTCTAAAACCATTTTGTGATGTGCTCATTTTTTAAATATGAAAATTTGAATTTTTAGTGTTATTGCTTTAATTTTTTCCTTGTGAAATAACTTCTATCGGAGATGTCGTTACCCTATATAATCACGACGTACCGTAAAGTCTGTCCGTCCACAATTCCGTTTCCGGAGATTATCTCAGAACCCAGAAGTCTAAATATTTCAAAAATTCCATATGGTGATGCGCTGTTATATGTAAGGTGTTTCAAACGTTCCTTAAGTAAAGCTTATAGTCGATGCACTTTTACCCTAACAGTTTCCGTCAGTGTTCATTTAGAAGATGTAGAACATGGAATTTGGGGGCTATCCTAATAGAAAACCGCCACATTACAAGGATCCTAAAATCAAAGATGGCCATTGGCGAAAGTCGACGTCTCTGTTGTTAAAAATAGAACAGAACGATAGATAGTCAATATACACTGTACATTTGGTGGTATGGGGATGTTCTATAGTGTACGGATATAACGCCATATTACCAGAACACCGAAATCAAAGATTGCCATCGTCCATCGCCTCTGATTGGCAAAGACATTTATATATACGGATAAGATGCAGACAACAACATTGAACATGGACAAGTTTGTTTTGGTGTAATTGGGTTAAGAGCCCCACTAATAAATAATCGTATTTAAGGATAAGTCTCCGTGTGTGAAGTGTGCTGGAGACGGTATATCGGTGTATTTGTCTCCTTGCAATGCCAACTTTAGAGTGCTATCTCACTGAAACGTTATTCCGAAGTCACCCGACACAGTAGTCCACCCGGTCACATTATACTGACAACGGGATAACCAGCTGTTGCCATTACCCTAAATGAGGAACGTTTAGCAAAGAATAACTATACTACCATTTTAAGGAGTCCCTGCCCTAGCGACTGAACCCATTGCCTTTCTAACCTGGGAAAAGGTTCGTCACAAAGGCCAAAAGTGAGATTTTGCGAAGTTAGGCGCTTACAAACAAAAATGCTGTTATGAAGAAAAGATGAAATGTCAAGATTCTAAATGTAACAAAGGATGAAGAAGATGTATTGTGGTCTATTGTGTGGCCCCAATTAGAGGACACAAAATCAAATGCTGAACTCTGAACGGAGTTCCTACAGTGGTTGCCTCTTTCATCATGCAGTGGGTAAAAGCCAAACTCATACAATATCTCCACAATCATCAAACACGTACCATCCGGTAATCTTGTCTAATAGATGTCTTACACAAACCGGATGATACTGCAATACCTTCCCAGACCATTTCTAGGCCTGTATTTATGAAACCGTTCTAATACTCAAATTCCGATTTTATGATCAAGCCAAACATATTGTTCCAGTGATAAATTGGTAATAAAGTCACAATTAGTCAATAACATGAAATAATTTTGGTGAGACATAATGCCGAATACCGTTTTCAATATTTACGCTTGACTTTTTGACTATATTACATGATAGAACGATTAACAAGAAATTTGGCTTGAGCACAGAATTCATACTTGTGCATGAGAACGGTTTCATGAATACGGGCCAGCTGTACATATATGTACGTCATAATTCATGACGTCATATCCGATTACCTGACAGTGGTTTCATTGTCACTGTCGATAAAACAAACAAAGTAATTTCAATGTTCTTTTTCTATATTTTATTGAAAACAAGTAAAAATGTTCATAACAAGATAAAAACGAATATATACAAAAAATATAAAATATTAATATCATGATTATAATAATTTCATTTCACCGATACAAGAATGACTAGAACACTAAGTATGTAATAAAGCATTTACCCCATAAATATCTCAATAATGTAACATATAATACATATACATACACCATCAGAAAACGTTCCTATGGATCATGTATTTCTTTGTAACAAGTTATTGCGGTAATAATTCTACACAGTGAAACAAGCACCGGTCGGCCATGATATTTTTCATAGAATATATTATTTATGTTTACATGTGAAATAAAATATAATGGTGAGCAGTTTATACGTTTTGGAAGTCTTCACTGCTCATTAAAATGAGATAAAAATAGTAAAGAAAACTATATACACACTGTTTATACACATACACCTGCAATAGTTATAAAATTGGATTTCATAAGATGCGTAATATATTTCAGTTTCAGGGAACGCCCCGGCAAATAAATTAGCATGAAACACATTTCACAAAATAACATTAGTTATTAAAATTTGGTCGTTTTGCTATTCATGACGGAATCCGACAATCGTCCAGCGGAATGTATTTCACTTCAATTTTCTACAAGTTGACGAGTAATCTCCCTTTTACCTTTCTGAACTAGTATAGGTATCGTTAGAGTGAACTGCCATCTGTTTTAGTTACCAATAGTTCATTTGACGGTGATTTGATCACAGTCAAAAATACGCGTTTTGAAAATGAAAGTCTCAAAAGGACTAAAAAGGCACACATTCCCCTACAATATCTATCTACCCAGAGTTGCCGTTCCTAACACTCACTAACAGTGTAAGGAACTGACAACACTGGGTAGAGCTGGCTACAATATTCGCGCTAACAAAGCGTTCGTTCGTCAAAATAAATCAAATTCGTGACCACAAAGATGTTTGTCACTAAGGCAACCAAAGCCAAGGTAACACAAACATCTTTATGATCACGTTTTGTCTTCTTTCCAATTGGTCCCCCTAAAACCGAAACAACAACTACACTACACCTGAACGATTGACAAAAGGGAATGAGTCAAATAAAGTAAAATGATTTAAGTTCGTGAACAGTTTCACGTCAATGTCTTGACAGCGACACACACTTTTCTTGGTCTTATCGACGGTAATCGTGTGCTCCTTGGTACTACACTTAGACAAAGCAAATAGTTCGAATCCGGTCGTAAACCGGAAATGACGTAGTTTTTTAAAGATGGTGACAAATCGATCACCATGTTTTCCGAAGTCTGTCCAAGAAGTTGATATTCCAGTTTGGACCCAGACACTATTCTATCGTCCATAAAAGACCAGTCGAGTTCAACTGTATTTTGTGTTTCCACAAGTCTCGTGAATCTAAACAGAGCATTTTCATCTGTTTCTGTAACATGAGTGCTTCTAGAAGTCGGAATTTCTGTAGTTGTAATAACATCTGGCAATGTTTCGCATGTAGTGATTGCTCGATCAGGCCCACAGGTCAGTTGAGCATTGTCAAGCTCCCAAACTTCACGACCATTGAGCGCCGACGGTGCCCGACACATGGCGTCCACCATGTACTGGAAAATGAAATTTTTACTTATTCTTGTTGTAATCCAGTTTTTCAAAGCCAAGAGATTACAATCACAGTTCAGAGGGTTTTTGCCGAGATACAACATTTCGACATTAGTCAGAGATGTCAACACGCATTTGTTAATGGATTTGATAACGTTACCTTGGAGATTTAGTGTTTTCAAAGTTCTATCCAAACCATGGAATGTTTTCTGTGACAAATCGGTGATTCCGTTTCTGTCCAGCATGAGAGTGACCAAGTTACGGTTGTTGATGAACTGGTAGTCCGGAATGGCAGTGACCTTTGTTCCGCCCAACTTCAAATCCTGGAGTCGACTAAGGGACGATACAGCCCGCCACATATCCTGCTCGTAAACAACGGTGTCTGTTAATATGAGGTCCTCGAGTGTGTTCTCCAGTCCCTGGATCCCTTGTCTTGAGAGATTGAATACAGGCGTGTCTTCTCCCCTTATATCGAGCTGTGTAAGCTTTGGCGTGTGAAGGAACGCACCAGCGGACAATGAAGAAAGCTTATTGTATGAAAGGTCCATATAGTCTAGAGACTGTAATCCCTGGAAGGTACTTGTCTGCACTAATGCTATTTGGTTCGAATCCAGGTTAAGATATTCAAGCGCATTCATGTTGAAAAATAGGCCAACAGGCATGCTGGTCATTTTGTTGTGGCCTAGATTTAATTGTCTCAAGTTTTTCCATCCCGCGGCTGCCAAAGGTCCTACGTTTTTTTCGTTCAGTTTGTTGAGATGAAGCCCGAGGTATTCCAAAGAGTCGTCAATGCCGTCGAAACATCCGGGTGTCATAACTCTGATTTCGTTGTGGGAAAGATCTAGTTCCTTAAGATTTTGAAAGCTTGAAAACGCCCTGTAAGGTATGTCAGTTATGTCAATACTAATGGCGCGAAAAACTTCCAACTTTCTCAGATGACGAAGACTTGACACTGGCAGTGTAACAAGGGGAAGAAACGCGAGCTGAAGACGTTTCAGTTTGGGAAGACGATTTTGGAAAACATTTTCTGAAATATGCGAGATTTCCATGTTCTTGATATTGAGCTCTTCTAGATTCAACAAGTTTTGAAGATCTGTGTTTTCTCTATTCATATACAACTGGCTAAAATTCTTGAGAGTAAGGGTTTGGAGATTGGTCAAAACGGACAGTTCTTGGTATGGCGGCGGGTACCGCCCATCCCCTTCAATAGAGATCTCCGTCAGCATGGGTACCAGACGTGAAAATGCCTCCGAGGACACGTAGCTAATTTTGTTTCCACTCAAATCCAGTATCTGGAATTTAAGTCCAGCGAAGGCGCCTGGCGGAATAACCGTGATATTGTTACACTCGGAACAACCTACTGGGTTTGCAAGTGTGAGTTCGTAGAACATTTCATCTGTCGGTTCGAATCTAGGAATCTGGGCAAGCCCTCGTGCACGACAGTTGATGATACGCCCTCGAGCACGCGTTCCTTTTTCACAGCGGCATTGGTCACTGGGACAGGGCATCGTTTGGCTTAGTACGGACACGACACACATCAGGACAAACAGGATCACGTGATTGGTCATCTTGATATTTTTTTCAGAACTGTAAGAGAGAAAACAAATACGTATGCTAATTAAAAAGTCAAAAGAAAATTATTCTAAAATTAGTTTGATTAATACTGGCCTCAATGGTAACGCTAACTAGATTCAGCTGCAACTGATTTTTAATTAAAAACTTGAGATGCACATAAAAACATTTCTAGCAGGAAATTTATCGGTGCAAGCACGGTTTGATATGTCAGCTTCAGCTTTATCTTTGCATTGGTATATAGAACCGCTGATGATGATTATAACTTTACATATATCGTATTAACTTCGTAAGAAATTACATAATTATTAATAGTTATCATTCGTACAAGCTAACAACAACCACAATCACATGAATGAATACCAGAAAATAAACTCGCGTTTAGTGTTTAGTCAAGAAAGCTGACAATGCTACCCAATGCGTAGTTCATGTTTTATCACCAAAGAGCAAATGCGATTTTATATGAGGCAAATATCACACGGTGGGGTTCCTACTTTGAAAAGATCCGTAAACCTAACTCGAGATATCCCAGTGAATGGGGGTCACCATGAAACACCGCATGCTGAATATGATATACATATCTATTTAGAGGAGGCATAGTAAGACGATAGAATTTTGATTTAGCACTCTCTGTGAACTCTAGAATTGGAGTCGTGTGCTGATAAATGTTGAGAAAACATGTAAAAAACAGTTTGTGACATGCGTATTCTTTTTCAAAAAAAAAAATGTGAAAAATTCAGCAACTTTTTCAATTTTCCGACATTGTCTAAATATGTTTTGTGTAAAATAAATACCTAGTTAATGTACGTAATAAAGGATAAAAGTATGGACTTACCTTAAGGTTTGTAAAATGATAAATCCAACTTGTTGCACAGGTAAAACTGGTTTCGTTTCAATGTAAAATCTTGTTTACTGTAGTTGTCAACAAGCTAACCTGTCAGTCTGATGTTTTGGGTAAAACTGATTTGCTCCATGAAGCAGCACCTATTTATGTATTTTCTGACAATTTGTTGAGCATTTCCGGTTGAGTCACGTCAGAGTTATATCTGGGTACGCCCCCGCGTGCTGTAAATTCCTCGCGCGCCTGATCCTAATTTGCATAAATTGTCAGATTCCAATTGGCTGATCATGTGATTCCGAAATTTTCACGTGTCATTAAAACAGATTAGTTACGCGTATGTATTTGCTACTAGGTATGAAATTGATTTTTTTTCTATTTTGATTACATGAACCATTTGACGTTTCACTGCTGTATATATGCTGGTCTTTGCACCTATAAAATTTTCCGAGGAATTTATTAAACTTTATTTTTAAATCCCCACAGAAGATATTTACATTATCGTACTGTATGAATAGCTATCTTCTAACAGTTGTATATATGATGATAAAATAAAATAGTTTGGTGCAGCAAATTGATAAAAATGCCCAAATTTATCACATCTGTGTCCTTATTCACATTCACAGTCAAACCACAAAATTCTGAACATGTCGTCTGAGAGATAATGTAATACAAAATGGCTAGGCCGTGTTGTGGTGTCGTGTGGTGTCGTGTGCATCAAACGTTTAAAAGGTCGGGATTAAGTCAACATGACGCTTATTTACATTCCAAAGCATCCAGTTTTACCTGAAGGTAAAGGTGTGCTAAAAAAGTATAGCTACCTTTATTATCCAGAACGATGTGTATACATATATTTTACCAACAACAAAGGTTCTCTTTAATAAGACGTGAACGTTTAATAAGGTCTGGGACGTAACAAGGGTGATTTTTATAAGGAAATGTGTGTATGAAAACCACCAACAACGTACGCTGTTATTTACCAAACCATTACGCGATCAATCAAAATAGCTATATAAAGCACGATCTATAAAGGTAGATGTCTAACGATGACTTCGTAGTTTTGCATAACCAAACCCGATACGGTGTGAATACACTTGTTCCAAGTCATAACTAATGTTTGTATTTATAAACACAGGTGGGTGTCAACACGTTTAGCGATTAAACATGGGCACATGAATTTTAAATCCTAGATTATAATATTCTATGTAAACAACTCTGGTTAGTTTCACTCGTAAGCCGACTGTGCCTCAAATGTGTCCTTAGCTGGATTTATTGATAGAGTGATAGATTCAAGTTCAAGTTCTTTATTAACTTTGAGTCTTGCGACTTATCAGTGTAAACATATGATAAACAGGATATTTACATATCTACAAATAGCCACATTCACATTAGTCACTGGAGAACATATTTCTGATCAGCGCTTATTTGCCGCTATCAGATACTTTCCAAGATTACATAATTCTTTAATATTCTGTGTATTAAGTAATTGAACAAGCTTATATACACTAGGGTTATTTCTATAGCAACATATTAAATACTTCCGTCTTAAATCTGTATATCCTGTGCAAACTAAATCTATTAGTTCTAACAGTGCCAACATAACGTCAAGATTCAATGTTTAATTTCTTGGCTGACAGCCTAAGTCAATCAATTTCTTTCCGATATTAACTGATTTTTTTTAGATACGATTGTAGTAAAAACGTATTGTTTAATTCTCTGTAAAGCATACCTTTAGACATACCTGTAATTAAACTATATCCCTCTTGATTAAAAATGTCAATTAATTTTGCCTTAATAACTAAAAAAGTGAAATTGTTTCCATTTTGAGCGTCCCAGATATATATTCTAAGCCTAAACGATACAATTCATCTCTTATTTCACAGACCCATGGATCCTTGATTAGCAGCATATTTACATAACAGGATTTCAAAAAACAGTTTTCGGTATTGAGCATTTTAAACCAATATTTAAATATTTTTAGTTTCCTTGTTACATGCATTGGATAACGGCCTAATTCGAAATATACTATCATATTCGGAGTGGATTTGCGCACACCTAGCAACCTTTTACAAAAACCTACATGTAGTTTTTCGATGTCGGAATCCCCATACTTCTGATCCGTAGTTGACTATACTACTGACATAAGTATCAAACACTGCTAATTGAGTCTCAATATTAAAATATTGTTATTTACATACACCCAATAATGCAAACAAAGCTTTTCTTCCTTGTTCAGATATTTGTTTCTGTGTTTGTTTAAATTTCCCATTATAAGTCAATAAGATTCCAAGATAGTTTAATTCATTCACTGTCTCCATAGATACTAGTTTATAATTAGAATTCAAATGAGACCAATACTTGTGCAAAACGTGATAAAATCACTTTTTGATGTTGTATCTGAAGCTGTGTGTTACACAAAATATAAAATATAGTCTAAATTACGGAAGGCAACAGGATGTGAAAACAAACGGAAACCACTCCGAGATTTTCAGCAAAGACCACGAAATCCTGAACCGGAAAGGCCGAGTTGTAATGGAACTAAAAATAATCTTAAGGCCAAGATCCAGATCTGTTTTTATTGTGTGTGGGGTTTTTCATAGATTTCTACAGGTCATCAAATACATATACGTTTCTTTATTTATTTGTTTATTTTTAATGATTTGGTAGCGTTATTGTTTACCTCAAAATGCATTGAGATCCAATGATGCGTAGCCTGCGAATTAACGAAGTGCCTATTGTGCTCGGGAGATTGTAAATGTCATTATTAAACCGTTACCGGATAATATAGAAATAAATTAGATATTGATAAACCCGTCGTTCTATAACCCTGGCTGGCGCGAGGACGTTAAACCCAAGCAAAAATATAGAAGGTTAAAATATCAAGTGCAATTCAATGGTGACCGTGACAGGGCAAAAAAACTTACCATGCCAAAGGTCATGAAGGTTTGTCTATAAAATCGTCTTTATATAAACGAACTAGGGATTATAAATGAAAGGAATTTTAAGCCGCAATTTTAGATTAGGAAGTGCGATCTAGTTCGGAGGGTTAATGGGGCGAGGGACAGATACGGTCTATATAGAGGGGAGGGGTGGATCTGTGATGTGGTATCGTCTTAAAACTATTAAGTTAAGTGAGACCAGTTGTATTGTCGTGTGAAGTCGGATAAATTTGTAATAATGAATAGACGTTGAAATAAAATTTTGAAAAGACGTGACGTGTTTATCGTTTGTTATTACTTTTCAAAGTCATGACAATTAATAATGATTAATTTTCAAATAAAATTGACTTTCATGCAATCATTACAACTTCCAAATTTACAAACAAAAGTTTGTCCGGTATGTCAAATATTCTGCATTATCATTGATCAGTGGTAGCCACGAGCAGAGACGTATATACTATGTGGCTTTTTGTCTCTGCCACAAGGAGTTGGTTTCTGATTGTGCGTTATATTGTACTTGCTCGGTCCCTGTTAAACCTTTAATTAAATCAAGCCGTTAACATTTCCGCGGAGTTTAATTGATTTTCGATGGCGCATACGTACATGACAATATGTAAATATAACAAAACTTTCAGCATTGGATAAAACATTTATTTGTCAGTTAATTATATAACTCTGCAGTCGTTATGTATCAAATTTGATCAGATACCGAGTACCTAGTAATTATACAGGTGTACCAACGAGGACGAACCAATGAAGATTGAAGATAACGAAAACAGGAAATTGATTCCATTGATACAGGTAATAATAAGCAATCAAAGGTAAGCCCGATTTTCTTTTTGACAAACACGGTCGACCTACCCACCTGTGCTTCCCAGTCTTTCTGCATTCATGGTTTATTGAAATTCGCGTACGGTGAAGTTCCGATATTTTGTAAAATGTTACTCGTTGCAAGTAAAGACACGATCAACTACTTTAATGATATACTATATAAAATTGTATACGCAATACCTTTATTTAAAAAAACAGAACATTTAGATTTTGGTTAAAAGTGAATATTTCTGAGATTGTATATTACAGTCTTGTTACGAAGATATTTCAGAGAACAAGGATACGTGAAGTGGTACTTGTTATGTTTAGGGTTTTTAGGGGCTGCTATAGAGATATCATTGAGTGCGTTTTATGTATCTACATGTAACAACAAGGTTTTCTTTGCTGATGCAACTTTCAGTTTTGGTCATAGAGTGCTTCCGGATATTGTCTGCGCCCGAAAACATCTAATACCAACCCATCTTATAAATTAGTTTTTGTCGACTTAGATAAACACGGTATGAAAGAGGATATCGTCTCTGATGGTGCTGTAGTTGACAGCCATCTTTACCACAGGCACCTGATAATTTGTTACAGATATATTTGGATCTAAACTAAGGTGTTCAGAGTAAGTTGACATGTTTTAGGGCGTTAGATCGACTTTCGGTAAAATTAACACCCTCAATGATCATATATAGGAGAAGGGAGGAAAGCTCTCGATGTCGAAATGTCGACCCTCACCTAACTTTCTCGCTGAACAGCTTAGTTTAGGTCCAACTATACCTGCAACAAATTATCAGGTCCCTGTGATCTTTACCTACCCGCATATCCGAGAAACGATAGACAGTTAAAAAATATTTTTATCTGTATTGTACTTGTGCATTTGATTTAACACACACTTCAGCATGATATAAACATATCGGACGACTGACGACACCGGAAATCCATGAACAATGGAAACTAGGACATTATTTCGGAATGATGTCAGTGTTGTTATTATTGCAAAGGGAGATTATCCACGTCTCAAACGAAACAAAACACATTAAGGAAGTCACCTGTTGGAAATTCCAGTTTCGGTTTCAATGTCGGGTCCACTAGGGTTTATCAAAACAGCAAGAATCAAAGAAAGCTAGTTGTATTCGCTTGGAACTTCTCTGATATTCATAATTGAACTTAAAACCAAAATACAATACAAAATACACGAACCTACCTAATTCAGTTTATAATCTATGTATGACTCTGGAGTGATGTAAGTGACGTCATTGCAATAGTTACGTCATACTCATTACGCTTGAGTTCTTTGCCTAATGACAGTTCCTTTTTTTTTGAAAATCTCCCTCATAGTTGAAGAACAAACTCAAG